AGTTGGGGATCCCTCGAGCTAATTTGGCTTTGTTTTTTACTATTTGGATGCAGTTTTTGTTGAGAGTATTTATTTGTAAGGTTGTAAGGTAAGAGGAGTATAGTCAGTATGAGAGACGAGAAGTGATAACACTATTGATTATATATATTGCTTGCTTTTCTGTTATATGTGCAAAATGTAGTTTTTTCAGATTAATTGTTACTTCTGCGATAATTTCTTTTTGTACAAGTGTTGGTTTTTCACTAGTTGAGAACCATGCTCCCATATACTTGAAGGGTGTTCTATTTGTGATTGCTGTGAGTCTAATTATTTTTGTCCCTGCACTCGCTCCTCTCTCCTTGCTAAAAACTGCACTTCTTTAAATCATAAGATGATTAGAAATTAAGTCGAATTTATTTTAATATTCTCATTAAGGAGGAATAATGGAAATAATGTTTTTAGAATGTCGATACAAAATTATAAATGAAAAATGTCAATGTTAATGTTTTGTTTTCTGTTTGTAATAAGAAGAATTCGTCATGTAACATATTCCAATCTATTCCAAAGCATGAATAATATACACTTTCAAGATGTCCGTGAATTTTACCTTTAAAATCTTCAGAGAAAAAGGAGTAATATATCAGAGTTGGAATGTCAATATAGAAGGGTTTAGAACGTTTAGCCGAAGGATACAAATTATTTGTAATAAGTCTATTTGGGGCAATATTTACTATTATTATTGGTGCAACATTATGGTAGGAAAAGGAAAGAATAATTGAAAAAGTTGCAACATCAAGATTCATGAGCCTAAGTGGAATCACATCATTAATATTATCTCTAATATTATCCGCCGGAAAATGTATTTTAAATAAAAGCTTCAAGAAAGACAACATTCAAATTATGGAAATTAGTGACGAGATGCTAAATGGTTCATTTAATAATCAAATATTGCACTATATAGAGGTTATGAAAGATAAGAAAAAAAAAATTAGAAATTATAACTTAGTAAATCTTAGTTTTATAATTTTTTTTTCTATCTATGTTATTATTCTTGCAATTATTTCAATCTATTCGAATCCAGAATTAGCATTACATATTTTTATTATAGGCTTATTATAGATTTTTTATACACTGCTTTATTTTTATTTGTTCTTTATTGGCAAACAATACAAAATAAGCAAAGACGATAAAGACAATATTAAAGATACCCTAAAAGGATTGCTTGTACCCAACCTTAGTTACAACCTTCTCTTATATAGATGTTAAAAAAAATATAACACATCAAAACAAAGCACATAAATATACATGTACCGAATTTTTACTGATTCGAAATTTATGTTTCGTTCTCACTTAGAGCTATTTACATATTTATTTAAGTTCAATTTTAATCCTTATAAAAAAATTCATAAAGATGGCCTGTATACTTGTCATCATTTTCCAAGTCCCACTTTGACAAGAATAATAGATTCGATAAATTATTTTAGTCATCTATTTCACAAAGTTGCATTGAACAAAAGTTCACTACAGATCAAATTTTTTGAAGATAACATTAAAAGTAGAGCAAAAATATACTCTATTCAATCATATTATCGATTTTATAAAGCTATTTTGCAACCCCAAATGAGAATCTTATAAATTTGCGATATAATGATGACTCTTCTTCAGTTATAGAAGATACAGATATAGATCAATCCTTGCGAACAACAAAAACGAATGATTCATCTGGTTTATTATTTAATAACAACACTTCTAGAATGAATGAAATTTATTGGTTGCCACAATTCCAAAAGCTTGACTTTGTTAACAAAAACCAAGTACAAAGTTCAGAATATCAAACTGTTTCCGAAACTATCAATACCAAAAATTCAGATTCAGTTGTCGAATTGAATGATTATATATTCTATAAAGAAGTAAAATACACCATTAATGAATTTCTCGAAAATATGCAAAAAGAAATAAATTTCTTAAAGAAAAATAATTGCGAGTTAGATGATTATTTGTCCCACAAACACAAAACTATAGATGAAGGTATTCGTGCTCTACTACGAGGTATAGAAGATATAAAATATGGAAGGGACTATAATATTTATGGTAGTGTCCGTTGGGTTCATGCAGATGCTTCTCATCAAAATCTTTGTCGAAATTCATTTAGTTTTCAAATTAGAGCCGAATATAATAACTTAGTAAAAAGTCGACAGAAATTATGAATCGTTTAATTAATTTAATTAATTAAGAAATTACTTTTTTTTAACTTGGTACGAATTTAATTAGCCAAACGTTTCTATATGCTTTTTCTTTGAATATTACGAAATAGCTCCCACATCTTTTATTTCACCCAAATTTAAATACTGTATTTTTTTGTGAAATCAAATTTGCTAAGTAATTGGCTTTATGCTATACAACTTTGTTTAGCTTGAGGGACATGCACTTATCTTCTACCATCTGCCCTTTCGTTAAGGAACAACTGAATATTTGTGATCTAATGGAAAATCAATCAAGCTATCATTTATTCCAGTACAGAGATTTATGGCTAAAAACACAATCAATAAGTAGCTTTTTAAAGTTTTTACTTGTTTAATAATATAATAAGTAGTAACGTCCTTTTCTTTAGAAATGTTGTTCGCATGGGATTTTGCTATGAATGACTTGCAAAATGGGTCATTTTTAAAGCAAAAGCCCGAATATTTACGGCTCAAGACTGGTTTAATAATGAAGCTCCAATTGATTTTCTAGTTAATCACTGGAATCCTTTGGTTTGAGATGAAGGAACGATGGCATTTGATAAGTTCATGAGAATTTTTCGTTAGTCAGAATTTCTAGTGAAAATTTCTATAGCAATTCTCTCTCGGGCTTTTCAATATTGAACACTAGTTTTTAAGCCATTTATTTAGTTAATTTTATTTATTTATTCGAATCAAATCACCTTTTTCAATATTAAACCTTTATTCATGAAAAAAAATTTTACATTCACTGTTATAAAACTTTTCTACCAAAAAAATTAGTCTTTTTAAATTAAAACTATAAAGAATACAATTTTTGAATTTATATTTATAATAAAAAAATGAATCATTAGAATTCTTAAATTTAATAGTTAGATCACATTCTGAATAAATCTTACTGACGCGAAATATTAATTAAACTCAGAAAAATTAGTTTACTTTTGATAGTGACGGTTCCGTGATATGGCGCGGTAAGTGGTGGCACGTTGTGTCACATTATACATTATGGCTATATTATCTGATATCAGATATGTTGTATGTACGTACATACGTACGACTGCGATGATTACGTATATAATTGGCAACCACTATATTATAGACAAGTCTTGTGCAACCTATCCACTGTTTTAATAAATTCTTTTGTAATGCGTTTGGATATACACGAATTTTAATTGATCGTGTTAATGGTGCCTTTTTTGTTCGCTTTGCTCGTCATGTTGTCTGTACCTTTTTCGCTTTCCACTGTCATCATTAACATTTTCAGTCAATTGATTAATTCTACGAATTATCCCAATGAGTTTTACAATTATTTTCTCTTTATTAGAATTAGATATTTCTACTATTTCTATTTTTTCTTGAAAGTTATCAATTAACTTTTGTTGATTGGCAATCTTTTTCTTGTTATCTATACAGTCTCTGATTTTATTCTTTAACTTTTGCAGTGATGATTTATTTATTTTTTTTTGATTTCTTAAGGTCTTTAAAATTATTCGCAATTGTACTTTGGGAATTTAATTGTGCTTGATACATTTTATCGTGAAGTTCTTTGTATATTTCATCTTTTTGGATGATTTGTTGATAGAGAAAATTTATTTCGCATCTAAGAAGAAAATTATCATTTCTGATTCGTTTATTTATTTGTTTAAGAAGCAAATTATCACTTATGACTTGTTTAAGTAGCAAAATTTCACTTCTGATTCGTTTATTTTCTTGTTTCAAGAGCAAATTTTCATTTCTGGTTCGATTATTTTCTTGTTTTTCTTCGTTTATCTGGTCATTTTGGGATTCATTAGTCTTCTCTTCATCGTCATCCACTTTAATAACCAATATCGAATAATCATCATCAGCATTGGGTTCTTCGGCATTAGAAGCATTATAAAAATTAAAAAAAGTAAGAGTAAAAAGATAAAAAATATAATAAACAGTTTTGAGGGTGCAAATAGCAAAAATGATATCCATTTTGCAAATTAGATTCCAAGGAAAGTTTCTATCAGGATTTATATACTTTCATGTGAATTCGACTTCTGCACAAACTTTTCTTAATGCACAAGTAATCTCTAATTCTAAAAAAAAATTTAGAGCAGAAATCTTTTTTTTGATTCAAAAAATTTTTAATATCTGATTTTTCGCAAATGTGCATTATCGCGCAGCATTTTGAGACTTAGCACGCGTATTAGAACACGTGTTATGTTCTTTATTTAGAATCTAACTGAGCAACTAAACAATTTACAAATTCAATTCATCAGAGCTCAGATCCAAATTTATTTTTACATAATTAAATATTAAATTTGGCTTCAACTTCTTAGTGCATACTAGCTAGAAACATTCTGTTGGCGTAACATGTAAATTACTTTAAGTAAAACTTAATAAATAAATACAACCAATTATTGTAATATAAAAACCAGTTTTTATAATTAAATATATTTATTGGAATATTATTATATACAACATAAATGCAAACTGTGAATTACAATACGTATAAATAAACTGTAGTTGTTTATTGATTAAATAATATTAGGCATTTGAATTTTTTTCAGTTTTTTTTTTTTGATTAAGTTGTTTTAAATAAAGATCTCAAATAGTTTCTAAAATTTATCTTGAACTCAAAGTGCAGTAATCATCTTGTTAAAATATCACAAGATAACTTAAAAAAATGGCTTAATTCTGAACCACCCGACCAAGGAAACAGTTGGCTGGGTGACAATTTCAATATAAATTATACTACATAACTAGAAACAAATCTTGTTAGTAAAACGAGTTTTAATTTTTACATATCTATTTATTTAAAAAATTTTCCATTTTATTGGACTTGTTAAAAACAAGTTTCTTATCAATAATGATAAATAGCGAATGCTAAGTATAAAATGCATTTGTAAATCCTTTATACATCAACCAAAATGAATCAAAAAATTATTTCAAGATTATTTTCATCCCCGCACAAAGATAGTACTGTGAATTCATCTGGTAACAGAACTAACTCAAAGAAAAATACTCTCGATCTTGAAAGAATCAAAAATGGTTTTAAATTTTATTCCTTTAATTTTATTTTATTTTTTAATTTTATGTCTTAATTTTTAATATTTCATAATAGGCCTTGAAAAGCATACCACATTAATGATCAGGAATATTCTGAACAAATATACTCAGGTAAAATGATTATCATAACTTTCTGTACCTGGACTTAACTAAAGTAAATAATATAGTAAGTTAAAAATTATAGCCAACTTACTATATTAATTACTATAGTTACAGCAATTACGACAATCACTATCATGGCTGCTTCTTACTTAAATAAAATTTAGCGAATGTTATTGGACTGGATCGACAAAACTCATTGTGGTCAATACGATTTTGTCTACTTGCGTATCAATTTTGCTAACAAGTGTAATGTCAGATACGCTTTTATTAACTTTTTGGATGCCAGGTAAAATTTTCTTCATACAGTATGTTTTATTTTATTCCCTTTTTCCTACTCTAATATTTCATAAATTGTTTTGAAAGTGCTATACTTTCTTTTGCTAAAGCACGTGTTGAAAAAAAATAGTGTGGTATATTATTTTACAAAGTTTTTATACAGTTATATAATGTAACTTGTAACTAATAATGACCGGTTTAAGGCCGAATTCCAACTCTGACAAGATTTGTGAATTATCGTACGCCAATATTCAGGGCAAAAATGCATATATCCAAAAGTTTAAAAATTCCCAGTATGTATATCTAAAGATATCTAAATATCTAAAAAGATTCTTTTTTTTTTGTAAATTTTATAATCATTATAATAATAATTATAATTATTGTCGCGACTGAAGCTGAAGAGATTTTGAAAAATGACCAAAATTTTTAAGTGTTCCTGTAATATGAAAATGCTTCTGGTTAAATCGACATCTTGATATATTGGACAATTTATTTTTTTTGAGGTGTCGATATAACTAGAGTACTGTGTATAAATTATTTTTGATATTGTGATATAATTTTACAATATTAATTTTCATTTTCAAATTAAGAAACCTAATATATAGAGTCCCAATCCTATAAATACCGCCATTTTATTACTAGTTTTTAGTTTATAATGTTTATAATTACAAGAAGAAATCATATTTAACTAATACAGAAATTACAAC